GAGTTCTACATCTTCATCTGAAGGCTGCTAGTGGAAGACTGACTTCCAGGCAGCTAGGGTGAGGGTCTTAAGCCCATGCCCACAGTTGTACACCTACTCCAACAAGGCCACACCTCCTAATAGTGACACTCCCTGGGCCAAGCATATGTAAACCACCACACTGACTATAACTGGAACTCACTACTAAGCTATCTCTCCAACCCCTTCTTTTGGTATAGTCTTATCTATATACTTAGCTGTTAAAATTTTTATTTTGAAAGCTAAGGACCTAGCTCAATTGGCAGAGCGCTAGCCTAGCATGTACAAGGCCATGGGTTCAATACTCAGAACCAGAAATAAAAATATTTCAAAACTGAACCTGATCGTGCAGGCCTGTAATCCAAGCTACTCAGATGAGGTAGGAGGAGATTCAAAGCTTACCTTTGCTTCTTTGTCAGAGATCAACTGACTATGCTTACATGGGCTTTTCTGGGATCTTTATTATGCTCCAATGACTTACTTTTCTACTCTTTCACTAAGATTGTATCATTTTAATTGCAGTAGCTTTACTATAAGACCTGACCTTGCACAGGATCCATTTCTGACACTGTGTTACGATTGTGTAAGTTTGGGGGAACTCTTACCTCTCCATAGGTATCTCAGAACCATTTTACCAGTGTGCACTTGTTTGCTGCTACTTTTAACTCTACTGAATCTATAAAATTGATAGTAACTGATACCTTCACAGCATTGAACCTTCCTACCCATGAAAAAGAATATTTATTTCATTTTAGTTCTTTGATTTCATTCATTGGAGCCCTGCAGTTTTCTTCATAAAGATTGTGTGTGTGTGTCCCAATAGGTGTAGGAACAAAGAAGAAAGAAATAAAGATTCTCTCTCTCTCTCTCGCTCTCGCTCTCGCTCTCGCTCTCGCTCTCTGTGAGTGTATGTGTGTGTGTGTGTGTGTGTTTGATTTATACCTAAGTATTTTTGAGGAAGCTAATTTAAATATTATGGTGGGTTTTTGTTTGTTTTTGTTTTTGAGACAGGGTTTCTCTGTGTAGCCCTGGCTGTCCTGGAACTTACTCTCTAGAACAGACCAATCTGAAACTTGGAGATCCACCTGCGTCTCTCTTCCAAGTACTGGCATTAAAGGTGTGTACCACCACTGTCCAACCTGGCCTTAAGTATTATGTCTTCATTTTAATTTTTGCGTTGCTGACACATAGGGATATGACGGTCTGTGTTGACCTTGTAGCCTGCAGGTGTATGCAAACTGCTTATCAGATTCAATAATTGTTTGCTCTTTGTTCTTTGTTCCTACACCAACAATTAGGACCTCATAAAGAAAAACAACTTGAATTCATCCTTTCTATTTCTTTACTTTTCTGTTTTTTATTTGAAATAAGTCTCTCATATAAATACTACAAGCTGACAAATCACACAACTGAACTCTTGGACAGGGTCTCTCTATGGCTCAGGCTGGCTGGGAACTCACTTCAGAACTCAAGCTGGCTTCAAATTCATAATCTTTCTCCCTCAGCTTCTCAAACACCAGGATTACAGATGTGCATCTGTCTTAGTTAGGGTTTTACTGCTGTGAACAGACATCATGACCAATGCAACTCTCATAAGGACATTTAATTGGCCCTGGCTTATGGTTCAGACATTCAGTCCATTATCATCAAGGTAGGAGTGTAGCAGCATCCAGGCAGGCATGGTGCAGGAGGAGCTGAGAGTTCAGGTGTGTGTGTGTGTGTGTGTGTGTGTGTTCATCTGAAGGCTGCTAGCAGAATCCTGACTTCCAGGCAGCTAGGGTCTTAAAGCCCACACCCACAGTTACACACCTACTCTAACAAGGCCACACCTATTCCAACAGAGCCATACCTTTTAATAGTGCCACTCCTTTGGCTGAGCATATATAAATCATAACAGTGTCTGTCTCTAGTTTACTTTGTTTTGTCTTGTCTTGCTGCAGTAGCTATGATTGCAGCGATGCATTGACAAGGAGTGGTGAGAAGGGATGCCATTACCTTGTTCATAATCTTAATGGGAAAGCTACCATGTTTTACCATTAACAACAGCTAAGCCAGTTGTAGAGCACTTATGAACTTGAGGTGGAAAGATAGTCTAAGACCCAGCCTGAGCTGCCTAAGGACTTCAAGGCCAGCCTGAGCTATATAGATAAACTCTGTCAAAACATATGCAACTCACCCCCCCACACACACACCAAAACCCTCTGTGGAATATTTTTTATAGAAAGTAGAGGGGACTAGTTTTCAAGAGGAAGGGGAATCAGCTGGAGTTGGAGGAGAATAGAATGGGGTAATAGGAGGTGGATACAGTCAAAATATATTATGAAAATGTCATAATGAAATTCATTCTTGGAATAGTAAGTATATGCTAATAAAAATTTTAAAAAGGTCTTTGCATGCCATTTCATGTAACTCAAGATTTTAGTCTAAAGGAGGGGTACCATGTGCTAGTTGATAGATATTACAACATTACAAGATGAAAAGGTTAAATTAGGGTCTCTAAACGTTAACTGGGGAATGTTTAGGTGAAAATTTTAACTTGAGCACCTGGTTAATAAGAAATAGCATGGGTTTGAAAAGCTAGTGGTTATACTAAAAGCTCCGCAAGGTAGGAGCATTTCTCAGTGAAAGGCTTGCAGTTCACCGTGGATATGTATCCTTTCTGATGTCAAACTGGGCTCTCCTTATTTCCATGTCATTGTTTCCCAAGCAGCCTGTGCTGAGTGAGCTCCCAGCTGTCCCCAGTGTATATATCTATTTGTTCTTTGTTGGTGGTTTCCCCAGATTTCTCCACTGGTCCAATCTCTCTTTTCCATCCATCCATCCTTCAGCCCTCTGAATCTTTGATCATCATTGCTCAGTGAAGGGTCCTCCAGTGCATGCACCTCATTGACTCTGGTCACTGAATTCTGTATGTGCTATTTTACACTTATAGTCATAACCCTTTGTTTTCTGAAAAGCTTTTTGTTTAGTGCAGAGCTCTCAGATGGCCTTGGGGTTCTTACTCCTTGGTGTATGTCTGTGTTTAGTGTGTGTGTGTGTGTGTGTGTGTGTGTGTGTGCAGAGCTGGTGAACAACATGGGGCTATTACTGCCATGACTGAACTATAATCAGTTGACTTTGAGTCAGTTAAAAGTGAAATGGCTGGGATAGGGATGTAGCTCAGTTGGTAGGGTGCTTGCTTAGCATGCATGAGGCTCTAGATTTGATTCCCCAGTACTACCAAAACTGGTTATATGCTTACAATCTAAGTTGTAAGGAAGTGGAGGCAATAGTATAAGAGTATATTGTACAGTAAGTTCAATTCCATCCTGGGACACATCAGATTCTATCTCAAAAAGAAAACAGAAATGTAAGAAGGGGAACCTCAACTCTCTAGTAAAGATGGTTGCCATAAACAACACTATGGTTCTACCTCAAGACTCTATAAGCTGCTTTGTCCTATGATCTAAGAAACTCATGGGTATAGTTCTAAGTGCTAGGTGGTGGTATTTGTTGCTCAGTGAGAGAAAATAAATATACCCAATCTTTTTTTATTAAGATGGAAGGGCTGTTCTAACTTCTGGATGTCCCAATATGTGCCTGTTTCTTGGTCCTAGTGATTGGACATACCTGCTGGGCCTTGAATGCTAGTTTCACAGGGAGCTTACTAATGGAAGGGGTCTTAGGCTTTCTATTGCTATGATACAACACTATGTCCAAAGCAACTTAGGGAGGAAAGAGTTTATTTGGCTTACATTTCCTGTGTAAGTCAAGACAGGGTACAACTGGGAAGGAACCTGAGTGCAGGAGTGGGTGGAGAGGCAATGGAGAGGTGCTGTTTACTGGCATGATCAACCTGCTTTCTTTTAGAACCCAGGACCACCAGCCCAGGGATGGTGCTACCCACCATGAGCTATGTCCTCCCCACCAATCACTAATTAAGAAAATGCCTTATAGCTGGATGTTATGGAGTCATTTTCTCAATTGAGATCCTTCCTTTCAGATAACTGTAGCTTGTGTCAAGTTGTCACAAAACTATCAAGCACAGAAGACATAGCTTGAAAATCACGTTGAGGAATAATCATAAGACCATTCTAACTCAAAGTTGACTTTTTGCTACCATCATACAGTACTATTTTGTTTCGTTTTGATTCCATTAGCATTAATGGTAAAACTAAAAGCAAAATTTACTGTTTTTTCTAGGATAATCTTCACAGTACTTTTCTTAATCACTTGCAAGAGTAGGAATCATAGGAGCCAGGCTTGGGTTTGAGTCTTTGACTATTCTTGTGGTTGGGAGAGCAGTCTCCCAGGGCCGTTCTCTTTTGTGATGTTCCCATGCCTGTTCCTTTTACAGATACCATGTATTCAGCACATCACAGTTTTCTTCTGTCCTATACTGAAGGAAAAACTACCTCCATCCACTCCTGGGATATAATCGAAAAACACAGCAATCATCTTGGATGATCCTTATTCCCAGTCTTTGTATCATGTCGGCAAATGAATCCCTTTCAGTTTCCTTCTTAATTATTTCTCACATCCACAAGGCAACATATCGCACGATTAAATGCTTATATTCTATGCATTCCTTATTAGGGTAGAATATTGATCAGCTTTAAGAAGGAAGAAAATTGCGATCCATGTTAAGTATGAGTGAACCCTGAGGACATAGTATGCCAAATAAAAGCTCTAAATCCTAGCCACTAGAACACAAAGGATAGCTACAGAATTCTAAATGAAGTCACACACACACACACACACACACACACACTCCCCCTCCCCCACTATCATATGATTCCAACTATATTAGGTAGTTGGAATAGTCAAAACAATTCACATAAAGTAGAATGATGAATGATGGCTTCTAGGGTTTGGGGCAGGGGAGGAAAAATAGAGTTATTATTTAATGGGAAGAGTTTCAGCCTGACAAGGTAAAGAAATAGTTTGAATGTTGGTTGGTAGGGAGAGTTGCACAATATGAATGTGCTAAGGTCACTGAACTATAAATTTTATGTCATATGTTTTATTAACAAAAATGGAAACATATTTTTTAAAAAATGGTGACGTAGAGTGAAGAAAAACATCTGTTATTAGTGCCACTAGCATCCTCCAGGACATCAGTAATGATTACCAGAGCCCTGACAGCAAACCATAGCTAAAGTTAAGGTGAGTACAGTAGAGGGGTGTGTTCTCACTCTGTAATGTCAGGAGAAAAAGACCTTACCAGTTTGATGACTTATTGTTTTTAATTCTTGTTCTGAGTTCACTTTTCTCTAACAGCTAATTCAAAACTTCACATGATTAAAGGTAGTTATGGGTAGCAGACTAGAGACTCTGCAGATCCTCCTTCTTCGTCTCCTAAGTCTTAGATGAGATGAGCACTCCTCTTGTAGGCCACTTTTTTTTTTTTTTATGAGGGAATAGCCCGTTGAGGCATATCAGAAATCACATGTGAGACACCTGGTTGAGATTCCTGCCTCATAGTCTTCTCCTCAAGGAGTGCCGAGTCTTCCTGCAGAGCTGGGGTCTTGTCTGAGGAAAGAGCAGTTGAGGGCAGTTCCTAAAAAGAAAACACAAAAGGAAAGAAGGTTAAACATAGAAATAGCAAACACACTGCTATTTTCATGCTGGACACCAACAAAGAACAAAGCTGAAATTAACCTGCTCCAAAGAATCAAGAGATGAATCTCACTGGGATCAACGTGGTGGACCAGGGAGTCAACAGCCTGCAGGGATAATACTTAATAAAGTACACTCTGGACTCCCTGCAAAATATCAACTGCACGCACATAGAAATTACTACACAAATGAGAAAGGAGGCAAACATGAGCCATTAACTTCAGTATGTCACAGATGATGGGAACAACAGACAGGGATTTAAAATTGTCAGTCAATATTTTCAAAATTGTAAGGGAGAAACACAGACATAATAAATGAAAATTAAGGAAGACAGTCAAGAAAATGGAAATAGAGGTACTCTAGAGTAGAAAAGAATATCTGCATTTAAAAAATCATAGAGAGCTTTGGAGAGATACTTCAACCAATAGAGAAGTTGCTATTCAAGCAGGAGGACCTCAGTTTGATCCCCAAAATGAAGCAAAAATCAAACAACAAAACAAACAAACAAACAAACAAACAAACAGGAATGGGGGCATGTGCTTGTAATTCCAGTTCTGGGAAAGCCAGGACAGGTGGATCTTTTGGGCTCACTGGCCAGTCAGCCTAGACTAATCATTAAGTTGTAGGCCATTGAGAGGCCCTGCCTCAGAAACCAAGATGAGGGCTAGAAAGATGGTTTAGTAGTTAAGAGAACTTGCTGCTCTTGCAAAGGACTTGTGTTTGGTTCCCAGCACCCACATGAACACTCATAACTGTTTGTAATTCTAGTTCCAGGGGAATCAACACCCTCTTCTGGCCTCTATGAGTCCTGTATGCACATGGCACACTTATACACATGCACACAAACACTCATTCACATAAAATAAAAATAAATAAGTCTTAAAAACAAACCCCGCTGGGCGTTGGTGGTGCACGCCTTTAATCCCAGCACTTAGGAGGCAGAGGCAGGTGGATTTCTGAGTTCGAGGCCAGCCTGGTCTACAGAGTGAGTTCCAGGACAGCCAGGACTACACAGAGAAACCCTTTATCGAAAAACCAAACCAACCAACCAACCAAACAAACAAACCCCAAGATGGATGGTACCTGAGACTTCTACAGGTAGGCATACATAAATAGCCACTCACACACAAAAGAAAAAGAAGGTTATCATGGAAATTTCTAAATAGAATGCTGGCCCTGGGAGGAAAAAAGCCTTAACCTTGACAGAAAATCAATAGAAATGATCCAACCTGAAGCTGAGAGAAAAGATTCTGAGAACGAGTGGCTTGGTTGTTTTGATGCTCAGCCTGACATGGAACCTCTTTACCACTTCCTCCAAGGCAGCAGAGAGGGTAGAAAGGACATAGGATCAGAAGGAAGGAGTGGAACAGTGGTGAACACTGTTTTCTGGGTATGGCATGCCCAGATGAACAACAATGAGAGGGCTGAAGAGATGGTTTTGTGGGTAAAACCACCAGTGCCAAGAGCAAGCTAGCTAGTTAGACTAACCATTTCAGCAAGCTCTGCGTCCAACTGAGCAATCCTGCCTAGATGAATAAGGTGGAGAGTAGTTGAAGAAGACTCCTGACGTCAGCCTCAGGTTTGCACACTCATGTGTACACAAGTGCAAACACATACCACATACAAATATGTCCCACATACACACAATCACATGTGCACACTCAAATACAACACATGCAGAAAGCATAGCAACCAGAGCTCCAATGATGTGTGGAGTAATGTTACTGCAGTCTCTGGCTAAGGTAAGCACACTTGCAACTGAAGCTTGATGGGCTACTTCTACAGTCTTTGTATGGAAACCCCAGAAGTCCACTCTACAGTAGGAACCCCACAGATCATAGCAGAGTCCCATGCCACACCTGCCCACATGATCTCTGATGCTTTGTGTCTTATGGGTTGCCTGATTAGGGTCCCTCTGCCTAGTAAATGGAAACTAACTGAAAACCATGTTTGCAAACTCTTTCATAGGTTGAACTCATGAGCTAAGTCCTCCATGACACTCTCCGTGAGTCCCATTTGCATATGGCTCCTCCCACATTTGGCACTCAGTCTCTCTTTCTCTTTTGACAGATCTCCTTCTACTAGCAAACATCTGATCTGAGAAACTCAAAGGCTTAGATCCAAGCATAGTTTTAAGAGAGTACAGATGGACATGGTGTCGCATGCCTGACATCCTAGCACTAGGGAAGTTGAGGCTGGAGGATTGTTATGAGCTTAAGGCCATCCTAGGCTCAGTTGAGAGTTCCAGGCAAGTCAGAGTCATACAATAGGAACCTGTCTCAAAAAGAAAAAAAAAAACTTAATACTAAAACAAAACAAAACAAAACAACCTAACATGCCACAAACCCAAAACAAGCAAACCCCACCCAATTCCAGAAGGAAAAAAATCTTTCAAGAAAGTACATATAAGGTATCAGATGACTATCAACAGCAAGTCACCAGAATATTACTAAAGTTATCCTAAGCCTGTCTAAAACCAAGCTTCCCACTCTGGTGACACAAAACTTGAAGGTGAACAAAAGTAAGCATTAATTTGAAATCTACACCAAGTCATCCAGGAACCAGAACCTGCAATTGTTGTTACTTGCTCCACCCCAACCACTTTTCCTAATCTTTTCAAATCTGATTTGGATATTAACACATACCTGAGTCAGGAGACCAGGCAAGCAATTAGATGAGCTTGATTCAGTCCCAAGCTTCTAACAAAGGGAATCAGACTACAACTTGCCTATAGATACTTTTCCAAAAAAAAAAAAAAGACGCTTATAAGGGCTTCCTCCTCTCACACGTGGGGAAAGAATGGCATATGTTTTGTTTCTCTAACCCTTGCTACAGGGTGCAAAACCTTTCTGAGAGAAAACATGGAGGGCCAATTTACACTGCTAGTGTAATTAGTGTAAGCCAAACTTTCTCCAGTAATGTAGAAGAAAAGAAGGCAGGGCTGGAGAGATGGCTCAGCGGTTAAGAGCACTGACTGCTCTTCCAGAGGTCCTGAGTTCAAATCCCAGCAACCACATGGTGGCTCACAACCATCCGTAATGAGATTGGATGCCCTCTTCTGGTGTGTCTGAAGACAGCTACAGTGTACTCATCAATACAATAAATAAATAAATATAAAAAAAAAAAAAAAAAAGAAGAAGAAGGCGGTGTGGGTGAGTCATGCCTTACCTTCTGATTGCTTTCTATTCACAAGAAAACAGTGTTGGAAAATGACTGCCATGGACAGTAAGAAATGAGAAATTTGCTTAATGTGCCTCCTCTCTGCCATCTCAGTTGTTCAAAGAATGGACCCTAGAGGGCACATTCTCACTCATGCATGTCCTACCTTCTGATACTGCAAACATATGGTCAACTACATAGTTCCAGTTTGAGACCTACACAATTGAGTTACCCAAAAATATATTGCAATACATTCCCCCAAATTCATAGCTACCTTGGAATACATGGATTGGACTTCTGTGATTGTCAAAAGTACTATCAAACTAATTTTCTGATAGGTGTGGTAGCATGTGGTTGTCATTCTTAGGGCTTGGGAGATGAAGGCAAGAGGGTCACAATGAGTTCCTGGGCTAAGTAGTGAATCTCTCTCTCCCTATCCTCTTCTCCCTTTCCCTCTTTCTCCCCTCCTTTTATTCTAGGGGATTGTACCTAGCACTGGTATATACTAGCCAGCTCTCTAACACCAAAAGAGTTTCTGCTCTTTAAGATTTTTATTTGTCAGGTTGGCCTTGAACTTACTGTGTAGCCCAGGCTTCCAAACTTAGTGTATCTTCCTTTTAATTTATTGACAAGACATGCAAGCCTTACAGATAAGCCTACTAATTACAAGAGTTTATTAGACTACTGAATGCCTTAGCATCAAATTTAAACAAGGTTAGTGTCCTCCAATTTGGCTTCAAGAAACAGCAAAGCTGGTGAATGTAGAGGATCTCACTAAGGAGTTTGAGGACATGTTTATTATTAAGACAGCTTGTCTGGTGTCAATCCCAATATTACAGTTGAGTGAATTCTCTAACCAGCTATTGTGGAAAATGGCACAACCGTTAGGGGTTTGTAGAAAAGACTATGGGATACTAAAGTTTTGCTTGCCAGTCTGAAGAAGGCAGAGTTACTTTCAACTGTCTGGAGTTGGTAACTGATGTCTGTCTGTATTACATCATAGAGGGCATGCTTGATGTGTGGCTACGAGGGACAAGCAGGCCCAGGGGGGCTTCAGTGTATTTTACCCTGTGCTAGGTACCTAGAAGATTTCCCGAAACCCCAGGCTGATAGAGGCTGAGCTGGATTTTCCATTCTTCCTTCCTACCTGGTGACACTTTTCGCACTTCTGCTGAATCAGATGGCCTTCTTCTGTCAGCATTTCTGTTGGTTTTGCTTCCTCAGAGCTTTTGTCATACGCTTCCTTAAGCTGTAGCTCCTCTTGCCTTCTCTAGGGTAATATGACAGAGATAAATCAGGTCACATCCCTCAGAAAGAAGCCCTCCCTCATGTGAGATAGACCTGGTCCGATGAAGCTTACTGAATTTTCTATTGCAAGCATTAGCTAGCCAGTAGCTGCAAACCCAGCTCCACAACCCACTAAGCTAGATTCCCTCCTTACTCCCCTGAGTCCTCATACTTCAGAGATAGCTGGGACAAAGCAATCCTCAGAAGGTAGATGAGCCCCAACTCCCCAGGCCAGCTCAAAACTATGACTTGGATTTCAAGTTGTTCTGAGCAAGCTGCAGCCTCCCTAGCAGGCCCAGTACACAGCACACCTTTGCTTCAGCTGTAGTTATATTCCTGTAATGGTAAAGCCAGTGAGCCAGGTACTCTATTGGGTCACTGGGCCGAACTCTTGCCACCTCTGCCAGTGCCTGGGTCAGGGAGTTTCCAAAGCACTTCTTCAGGTAGGCAGTTTCCATGCTGGGGACCTGGGAAACACCAAATCAGATACTCTACAACCAAATCTAACTTTTAAAGTAGAGCCATTCTAACGAGTTACATTTGTTCCAGGAAAAATAAGAATTATTTCTGGATCACACTTAGTGTTAGCTTTCCACTACTGTGACAAAATGCTTGATCTTGTCAAGTAAAGAGGGAAAGGCTTGGCTTTATGATCATTTGCTCTCACCACTCTTGGCTTATAATAAGGCCAAACATAAGAAAGGGTGCATGGCGGGTAAGACTAGCCCACTTTAGGAAAAGGATGGGAAGAAAGGAGGAGGAAAAGAGGAAGGGAAGGACATACACTCCCAACCCCTACCTCACAACACACACACACACACACACACACACACACACACACACAGAGAGAGAGAGAGAGAGAGAGAAGGGGGTGGGAGGAAGGAAGGGAGAGAGAGAGAGAGAGAGAGAGAGAGAGAGAGAGAGAGAGAGAGAGTCCTCTCCAAAGACCTAACTTCCTTCTACTAGTCTCCCTGTCTTATGGACTCTGCCATTTCCCAGTATTGCTACATCCACAAACAAGCCTTTAGTATGTGACCATTTGGGGAATCTTATGATCTGAGTCTCAGCATTCTGCCCCTGGCTCCCAAAGGTGGGTACTTACCTTACAATGAAAAATATACTTAGTATATCTTCAAGAGTCTCTGGAGTCTTTTGCTGTTTTTGTTGTTGTTATTGTTGTTTCGGTTTGGTGTTTGTTTGTCTTTTGTTCTGTTTTGTTTTTGTTGGTTTTTTGAGACAGACTTTCTTTGTGTTAGTTAGCCTTGGCTGTCCTGGAACTCACAGGACACCTCAGATATTGCCCTCTCTGGAGCTGCCTGCAGGGATTCTCCTCCCTGTCACACACTGCCTGGTCTTCCAGGGCCTGCTTTGAGTTTTAGGTGGAAGCCTTCATGACCCTACAGCTCATCCATTTTGTGTGCCTGAAAGAACAACATGGCATGGAGAAAAGCACACTCTGTTACCAGCATGGGCGGTAGCTGCACTTGGATCACAGCTGCAGATGCTTTGGAATACCTGGATGGCTAAATACAGGGAAATGAGGCCCAAGAAAGCAATTCCTTGGGCATTTCTGTGCTCCCAGACTCATGCAACTCCATGACTTTGTCAAACAAGGTTTTAAATCTGTGATGGATAGGGCATTGTTGGCTCTTGAGATGCCCTCAAGGGATCCTTTCAATGGTGCTGGTATGAGGTACCTGACCACTTCTTTTTCTTTGGGCTGGTGGTGGGGGACAGCTGAGACAGGGGCTATGTAGAAAAAAACTGACCTCAAATTCATAGAGACCTACCTGCTTCAGCTCCCTGACCCCCTGAGTGCTGCAAGAAAAGGTGTGTCCACCACATTGAGGATGTCACTTCCTTGCCAATTACCTCCTGCTTGTCTGTAAAGACTCTCCTTCTCTGTTGTGGATTTGGTTTATTGCTTATATTATGTTAATTGGGTTCCCAAATTACATGGGAATTCACACGTCTGGTGTGTGTGAGATTCTGAGAGTCCTGGCCTCCAGCTAGTTCTAATTGGTAAACAAAGTTGCCAATGGTGGGCAGGGAGACAGAAGCAGGACTTTAGATTTCCTGGGCAAGGGAATCACTGGAAGAAGAAGGATTGAGAATGGCCATGCCTGAAAAGGAATTGGATACAGGCTTGAGAGCGGCATAAGACAGAGAACCAGCCATGTAAGAGCTGGGGAAGAGTGGCCCCAGGGGACCCTCCCCCACCTCGGGGTCTGGGTAGCAAAGATGGAATATAGATTTTTAGTAAGTAATGAGTTAGGAGTATTGGAGGGGAGGCGCTAGCTACATGGAAGTTTGAGAGTGGCCCAGCCATTGGGCTGTTTAAGGCATATTAAAATAAAAGGCTGTGTGTGTGGGTGCGTGCATGCGTGCGTGCATGTGTGTGTGTGTGTTTATATGCGTTTGTGTGTGTCTTCCATTCGATAATCCAGAGCATTTTGGTGTGTGTCGAGGAACTCGCTCCATAGCCGATGGCAGGATGATTGAGTAGGGTTAATAATTAATAATTAATGCAACACTCCTTCAACTGCAAGGTTTTCAAATCCTTCTTCCTTACTTTTTACTCCCATATTTCATGGTAAATCTGGTAAAAAGCAGCTGGCAATACTTAGCCTGAATCCTCTACTGTTTAGAAACTTCTACCAGGTTAGTCCTATATTTAAACTCAGTCTCATGTAAAATCTCAGGGCATGGACAAATGCAGACAAGTAGTTTGCCAGAGTACAACACAAAGGACCTCTAGTCCAGTTTTCAGTAGGGTCCTCCTCTCTATCTGAAGCCTCAGGAGCCTGTCTATTGGCTCCACATTGTCTTTACATTCTTATTGTCAGGTCCAAAGGAAACTCCATTTTCCCAAATTCCAAAAGACAGATGGGGATAAAACCCCGTGGTTTCTATTAGCATACTAAAGCACTTGCTGGCCTCCAGCCACCCTCAGTAACACAAGTACCTGTTACACATTTCAAAGTCCAGTCTACTCTTCTTACCTCCTCCCCTACCTGAACTCCTCCGGCTCACAGGCTTCCTTTCCCCTCTTAGCTACTCATTCTTCTTGTAACTCTACTTTTTCAGCTATGTCCTCTCTCTGTCTCCTGCCTTCCCTTCTCTCATGTTCTCCATCTCTGTCTCTTGTTTCCCCTGCCTTTCTTTCTCAGTCTCTCTCTACCCCCACCTCTCTCCTGTCATCTCTCTGCTCCTGCTTCTCTCATGGCCAGGTCCAGTCCCCTGGCCATGTTTAGCCTACTTCTTTCTCTCTCTGCTCTGGACTCTCCAGATGCCTCTGGCTTTTCTCTTCCTCCTATCTACAATATAACCCTCCCCTTGAACATCAATGAATCATATCATCAATTTATATACTTACTGATACTCTGGTCTTCTGAGCCCTTCCCATAACTGCCCATCAAGTTCTGCTTATAGCATTGTAGGCCTACTTCTCCAAAAATTTCAAATTCCAATGATTTCTGAAGCACATTAGCAAGTCATCAAAACAATGAGCCTGACTTCTTTGGTGCCAGTTTTCTGTATTAGTAAACTTTCTGTTGCTATTACAGAGTGGCTAAGATAATCAACTAAAGAGAGGCAGGGCTTCAAATGTTTCATGTCGTAGTCACTTAGCTTCATTGATTTTGGGCATGTAGAAAGCAGAGGAAACTTCAGGGTATGGAGCAACATATGAGAACAAAGCTGCTCACGTCAGGAAAGGAGAGAGGGACTAAGGGATCACAGTCCTGCAGTCCCCTTTCAAGGCATGCCCTACTGATGCACCTTCCTCCAGTAGACCCTACCCATTAAAGATTCCATCAGCCTCCAAGAACACTACATGTACAAACTGACAACATGAATGTTCCATGGTATGATTAAGGGAAGGCTCTTATTGTAGATATGAGAGAACAGCCAGAGACACCAGTGGACTGGACCTGACCATGGGAGGGAGGACAAAGTGGGGTGGGGAAAGTATATCAAAATTAGCAGGTTTATAAGGAGAATGAGTAGCTGGGAGAAAGGGAAGACCATGATGGAGAGAAGGGTAGGAGAGGAAGGTAAGAAGACCTTGGATGCTATTGGGAACTTTGAAACAGGTACTTGTGAAAAGGAGGGAGCCTGGAGGCCAGTAGGCACTTTGCTATGCTAACTCTGCCACATGGTAAGGGAAAATACTTCTTTTGGTAGAGAGGAATTGGCTTTGGCTTCACAAGTTCCTGAGGCATGCTAGGTTTTATCAACCACCAGAAATCCGCCTATAGTTCGTGCTGAGCCCAGAGCCCATACCTGGATACTTGGATTGCCTTTTAGAGTGTGAGGAACTGTAATTTCATTTGGAGCTAACACTACAGACTGGCAACCAAAACTTTAGCATGTAGCTTAGGGACTCTTTAAGATCCAAAGCATGACGTTACCTTTCTTAGAAGAACCAACCAAATTATACTTGCCAATAGCTGTTACATCCAAGCACCCTTCTTTCTTATGGCTTTTCAGCTGGAATATGTCAGAGCATGAGTCCCAGGGGTCATCAGTCTTGAGAGGGCTTGGCTCATTATTAGTCAATGATGGTGAAGGCTTTTAATCAACCCACACACATACTTACTCTTAAGTACAGAGAAAATAAGGTCCTGGAGAGAAACTCTGGGTATACAACAAGCTGTGCTATTGTGAGGTTGGTAGTTAGTCTATGACATAGACAACAGAGGCTCATTTACTTTACAGGGAGAGAGAAGGAAGAAAATGATGGGCCTGTCAAGCCTCTGCCGACACACTATCCCACAGCATCACTTTAGGTGGGGCTGATGATCCTAGATTTCCTAATAGGTGTCAAGAGTGGCAGATAATGCACTCTGAGACAGAATGCCGCATTAGAAGTTGCAGTGAATCAGAGCAGAGCCGCAGCAGCACAGACACCTGCACCAGACAGACCATGTCTGGTGTTGCCACTTACAGCCGTGTGATCTTCAGCAAGTTGCTTGGTGTCTCAGAGTCTTGGTGCCCTTAGGAAAACAGAATGTAAAATACATACCTCATAATATCGAAAGAAGACATTGAGCTATTAATCACACAAAAGGCACTGAACCTGGCACACAGCAAGAATTTAAGAAACACGAGCTATTATGGAACAAGAGTTTTTCAACATGTGTTCCTAGCACCTAGCCTCCATATTTCCAGTTTTTCAGCTTAAGAATGAATAACTAGACATTGGTATAGAAAACATAAATACATTCTACCTCTCACCAATATCAGAGTTTAGAAACCCAAACATTCCAGAAGCAGTGAGTGAGTGCTGTGAGCACGCTTTGTTTGTTTATTTTAATGAGTTTTACTATGCATAGGCTAGCCTGCAAGTCCATAGGTAGCCTAGGATGGTTGAACTTGTCCTTCTTCCTGCCTATCCCTTCCCAGTGATGAATGAGAGGTGTGCTCCACCATACCCAGCTTCAAAGGGGGATTAAATATTGTTCATTACTTAAGGGATCATAGATCCTTAAAGAAAAGTTTGGTTCCAGGGTTGGGGCAAAGAAATATAACTAGCCAGAGACAATTTATTATGCCAGAAAGTAAGAAGACTCTAACTATGTTTGTAGATTCAGGAGCCATCTTGAAGACTTGTTCCAGTACTTCATTTTTGCTCCCAAAGGTGCTCATATTCTCAGACCTAGAGCCTGTGAATGTTACTTTATATACTAAAATGAGCTTTGCAATTGTGATTAAGGACCTTGAAATAGGGAGTGTATTTATACAAGCAGGACATCTTAATTACTTTTCTATTGATGTGAAGAGATACCATGATCAAGGTAATTTATAAAAGAAAGCATTTAATTTGAAGTTTTAGGAGGTAAGTCTTGACCATCACGGAGATGGGAGCATGGCAGCAGGCAGGCAGGCATGGTGCTGGAGCAGTTCTTAAAAGCCTATATCTTATCTGCAAGTTGGAAGCAGGGGCAGACAGACTGGGCCTGCTGTGGGCTTCTGAAACCTCAAAGCCCACCCCCTTCCCCCCAGTGACACACCTAATCCTTTCAAAACAGTTGCAGCAACTAGCGATCAAGCATTCAAATATATGAGCCTGTGGGGACGAATCTCACTGAAAGCACCACATAGGCACAGCTACAATTGCCAGAGTTGTCAGTAAGGCCAGACATGGAGCATGGCATAGTGACAAAACACATGAAAGAAGCCGTGTGAGGTCATGCCCAAACATAGCTTCTAGACGTCAGAAGACAAGGAAATGGAATCTACAGAAGGGTATGGTATGTATGTCCTGTATACATTTGTGCTTAAAGCCAAAGTTTGAGATAGATGTCGGGGCTAGGAGAATTGGGGCAGGCCATCTGCTATTCGTGCTGGTGTGTGGATAAACAGTCTTCCACATCTTTGGTGTTCTATGTGATCTGATGACAAATTGTTAATGGGCTTGGTGAAGTGCAACTTCCAACATCTCAGATTCAGTATATGTGCGACTTGGCAAAATCCCCAGTGCAAGCCCCAGCCACGCATCCTCTATTCTCGTAGAATCCCAGCACAGACTCACCAACTGCATTCCCAGAACATCTTTCCATGCATAGGTTATTAAGTGACTGTTACACTGCTTAAATGTGACAAGCCCTACGAGGTTCTACCTTGTCACACACTAAGTACTGAGTAAATGTCAGAGTGCTCTGATGTTGGAGGTGGGTGGGTAAAGGAAGGGCTCATACTCTGTTGGTCCATCAGTGTGTTTATGAAAGCCTCTAACACTGAGAAATGCCATGTCCATAGTTTGCTTTTTGTTGCTCTGATAAACACCATGACTAAAAGCAAATTGGGGGAGAAAAGGATTTCTCTGGTTTACTTATTACAGTCAGTCCTTCATCAAGGAAAGCCAAGCCAGGAACTCAATGCAAGAGCGTGAGACAGTAACCATGAAAAGGAATGCTGCTTATTGGCTTGCTTTCCCTGGCTGACTCAGCTACCTTTCTTACACAGCCCAAGCCCACCTTCTCAGGGATGGACACTGCTCATAGTGGGCATATGCCCATAATTAGCAATCAAGAAAACGCCTCCCAGACATGCCCACAAGTCAATATGACGGAGGATTTCTTCCTCCCAGGTATGTCTAAGTTTGTGTCACGTGGACAAAAAACGAACCAAGCACATCAGGGGAAAGTGCATACTAGGGCTTGGTGGGGGGTGTATTTGGGCAACCTGAAGTTGCTTGCCTTTGAGTTTACTCTGAAAGGTGTGGAGTCTTAAAATTACCAAGCCAACAAGCCTGCAGCTTTAATCCCCAGGGATCAAAGGAGTCTTTCCTGACTTTCAAAGATCTGCTGGTCCACAGGGCTACTATCTAAGGGTCCCTGTGCCTGCCAGGTTCCAAGGCTCTGTCCCACTGTTTCTCCACAGTGCTTCCTCTTCTGTAAATCTGCTTCTCCCACCCGGGTGCCCCATCCGCTACAGTGCGCATTCCCGACTTAGTCTAGAGTGCGCCCCCTCCCCTTGTGCGCGAATTCCCCTTTCATTGCCCTTTGCCTCCACAGCGTAATGGAACCTTAGCTCTACACTTGAGCGTGCTCTCGTTGCTAGGCAACAGGACGCGACTCACTGGCAGGAGGCCAGAACGTGCATCAGTTGCGTGCATCAAGGAGGCTGGAGCGTTTTCCTTCGAGCAGGTCCTTTAGTGTCTCTGCAGGAGCAGTTCTCAAATTTTCAGCTTGCCCGCAGGCCGAGGTCTCAAACCGGCGGCCAAGGGAGGGTTAGTTCCTCTTTTCTTACCTCCTCTCTTCCGGCTCCTCCTCTTTCTCTTCCTCCTCCCCCTTCTCCCGGCCCCTAGCCACCCAATAGGAAAACTAACGCGTCTAGGTTGGTGGCTGCCTGATTGAGATTTATTTTTAAACAAACGGGTTACTTTCTAGCACAAATATACTATAAGACAATTATTCATTGTTTCTCGGAAATTTAAGTTAAATTAGGTCTGCTGTAGTTTTAAGTGCCGAATACAGCACCTCTTCCCAGGCTGTGGCAGAGGACCTTCTTCAGCGGCTCAGAGCCGCTGCTCCAGTCCGGAGGCAGGTGTTTCTGTGGGAACGAATTTTCTTCTGTGGAGCAGGATGAGTACTGGTGTTTGTAGGGAAGTAACATTTCTTAGGACAGAAGAGATTAGTTTCCTCACATGACCAGGAAATGGATGTTACAGAGATGACAGACAGACCTCATGAAAGCCCCACTGAGAATGCTAAGCAGCTGCGAGAGTCCAGATAGACCCTGGCCAACTTCTAGATCAGAGGTCCCTCCTTGACAACCATTGTCCCTTTCCCAGGTTCTATGTTTTTGGAGCAGCAGAAAGAATATCTTCCATGTTTTATAACTGAACTTCAAATGACATTAATACGTCTATGTGGTGATTTTATTTCTAGACGATTTCCCACTGAAGAAGCACCGTGGAGACACAGCCCAGTCAGTTGCCATATGTTTTTCTCTATGTGGACACCAGTGCCAACCTAGTTGGAAATCAGCTTATTTGTGCCAGTTCCAGTCAGTTCCGAGGGCTACACTTACATGGACACATACATGTGTACATTTCTTTGGTAGCAGAAGCAATTTCTATATCACCCTTTCCCTCCTGCATTGTGACTCACCAGGAGACTACTTCCTATCTTAGAGAGCATCTCCATTCCCTTATATTGTCGCTGGATTCCATGATATTGTACGTAATTGACCCTCTACCTGGACATTCAGATGGCATTTCAGTTTTACTATGGTAATAACGTGAGAATAACATGTTCACATGTCATTTCAGTCTTGAACTTGCATTTTTGAGACAGGAGTTGAGAACTGCAATGGCGAACATATTCTGGTCTTTTCATCTCATTGGGCCACAATTCTGGGCTTGGGTGGAATCATTTGTTGGTCTGTTATTGTCCACCTGCATATCCTATATGAGGTAAATAGAAATAGTCAACCTCCCCCAAAACCTCATGCATCTGCCTTCATATCTGAAAAGACTAGAAAACAGCTGGGAGTGGGTACATACTTGCTCACTTGGAGAGACAGTGGTATACACACATGCACACGTTCGAGTGCATGCACACACAAACATGCATGCACACACACTCACACACTCTTATATACTTCTCAGGCAGGATGACAAGGGCTATATGAGCTACTTGAAGCAGGAGAAACTCCCTTGTACTGCTTAACAAAAGTCTGGAGTCAGAAATGACCTGTGGCTTGAAGGCGAGGAGCTGTGTTCCAAGAGTAGAGGAAGGAAAGGATTATCGAGGTGGGAAAGTACAGAGTGTGATGTGTAGAATGGCAGATTCAGCGGAGTAAGAGCCCAGGATGGATATATGATATCAGGGAAGTGCTTGAGATTAGTCTAAAGGGAAGTTGTGGTGGTTTGAATATAACCAAATTTGTGTGTGCATGCTTCATATTAAGATGTAGAATTCTCAGCTCCTTCTTTGCCATGCCTGCCTGGATGCTGCCATGTTCCTAACATGATGATAATAGACTGAACTTCTGAAAGTGTACACCGGCCTAAATTAAATGTTGGCCTTTATAAGAGTTGCCTTCATCATGGTGTTGATTCAGAGCAATGGAAACGGAAACATTGACTAATACAGAAGTTGACACCAGAGACTGGGGGCATTGCTGCGATAAGCCTGACCATGGTTTTGTTTGGAGGAATGTGGTTTTTGAAACTTTGGATTTAAGTGGGTCTTAATGGTTCATTCTAGTAGGAACATGGAAGACATTGGTACTGAGGGTGATTTGAAGTCTGGAGATCTTTCTTATGTTTTGGTGAAGAATGTTGTTGCTCTTCTCCCTTGTCTGAAGAGTCTGTCTGAGGCTCAGGTTAAAAGTCTCAGATTAATTGCACTGACAAAAAAAAAGTCTCAGAAACACCCAGCATAGACTTTGTTCTCTTGATTACTCTCATGAAGATTGTTTTGATCAAGCATAGCAAGCCTAAAAAGAAAAAAAAAACTCAAAATGTATAGTTCAAGCAATAAAGGGGCACCAGGAAGTGCAATGGAACTAAATCCTGTGTTCAAGAACATTAAATAGATTAAGGAAGTGGTGACATCAGGGCAAAATGTCACCCGGCTAAGCTTATTGTTTATGTGTTTGCAGTTGAACAAGAAATAGTTATATATCATGTTAGGTGTTACGAACTGGTTATTGTTTTCATTTCAACTTCTAATCTAGAATGAATACAATCCAGAAATGGAGGGCACATCTGTGATCCATGTCTTAAGGCTAGAAGATAGTCTTTTGATTCAGATCTTGATGTGGGATGACACATGCTTTTGATCCAGATCTTGAGGAATAGTGGCTATGAAAAACTTAGGTCCAGGCATTGTTGTGGTATGTGCCTTTAATCCCAGGAGACAGAGGCAAGGCCAGTCTGCTACAGAACAAGTTCTAAGTAAAGAAAAGCTTAGGTTCAGATGTGATGGTATATGCCTTTAATCCCAGAACTCAGGACACAGAGCCATGTATATCTCTGAGTTGAAGTTCAGTTTACAGAGCAAGTTCCAGGAGAGCCAAGCTTAGACAGTGAAAGAGTTAGAAAACAGAAAGCTGGTGATAATATCATAGAATAAGAGCGGCATGTTCCAGCCCCAGCAAGCAGCAGAACTGGCCAGTTTCAGCCACATGACTCTGGCTTTAGAGTAAAAAATACAATAGGGACTACTGGGGCAATTGATCCGTTAGCAGGAGTTAAGAAATTAATGGTGATTAAGAAGAGACCAGCATCACTGAGGTGAAATCTGGGAAGTGTTTTTTTTGAGAGCACAAAGAAGCTGCATTCCAGAGATAGCCAAGGTGGTACCTGGTACTGCAACTGGACTTGGAATCTTTAAGAATCACCCAGGTGGTACTGGTTTTGAAGGAATGAAGGGGTAATGGAGAGCAGCTGAGGCTTGGCACTGTTAGAAACCAGGGAAGGCCACAGTTTCAGTTGATGGCCCAGGACTGAAGGGATCATGCAAAGAAGTTGAGGCTTATCACCATGAGGAGAGCCTATGAGAGGCTATTGGTAAAGCCTAGTTGCAACATAAGTCTCCAGTGAATTGGAGATGCCAGTAAAATGGGGGGATCACCAAGAACAGCAGCGACAGTGGAATAGAGTCAACCAGAGCCCAGAGTGCTACAGAGAACAGAGCTGGAGAAGTGACGCCAGCCTTTTGGAGGATCCCAGAGGATCATGTGTGTATCTCAGTCATTGGAACAAGAAAAGTGTAAAGTTGAAGTTGTCTTGGATACCCCAAGATGTTAGAGATATTAGAGCCATGGAACATCTGTCAAGGAAAACTGCTTGTGGGAGTGGTACCACCCCAGGAGAAAGAAGTTTGTTGCAGTCATCAAAAGAGTTTGATATCAGACACGGAGACATGGAGTTTGGAGTTTGCCCAGCTGGTTTTTGGTTTTGCTTTGGTTCAGTATTTCCTTGCTATGATGTTTTGGAATGGTAATGTATATATTGTGCCATGTATATGATCTGATTTTTGATTTTGATTTTTATAGGTGATTACAGTTATGAGATTTCAGGAATCTCAGTAGAGACTTCAAACTTGGACTTTTAAACATTGATGAGACTATGATAGAGTATGGAGATTTTTGAAGTTGGATTAAATGTATTTTGCATTATACTACAGCTAGGTATGCCCCCCTCCCCCCAGACTCATATATTTGAACAAGCCTACAGGGGCCAGGGAATGGAATGTGGTGGTTTGAATATCCTTGGCCCAAGGAGTGGCATTGTTAGGAGATGTGACCTTGTTGGAGGAAGTGTGTCACTGTGGGGGATGGGCTTTAAGAGCTTCCCCCTAGCTACCTGAGGATGACAGTCTTTCCTGGAGGCTTTCAGATCAAGATGGAGAACTCTTAGCTCCTTCTGAACCATGCCTGCCTGCACACTGCCATGCTCCTGCTATGATTATAATATACTGGACCTCTGAAAGTGTACATCAACCCCAATTAAATGCTGTCTTTTATAAGAATTGCCTTGGTCATGGTGTTGCTTCACAGCAATGGAAACACTGACTAATACAGAAGTTTATGGCCAGATTATGAGTAACTTCATGCTGTTTATTGGAATTTGAATTGATATTCTCTGGCTTTGACAATACATGATTTTGAAGAAGAGATGGACAATTTGTGATGTTTTATTGAAATGCTTAGGAGAAGCATCTTAGAGTCACTAGAGTTATGGCCCTGCGATCAAGAAGTGAGTACAAACCCTAAATTAATCTGCCAGCCAAGTGCTCATAGCTGTTCAGTTAAACTAGCCGAGTCTGGCTCCTTATCTGCCAGTTGCCTCGGATGTTGTAGGCATAAACTGGCACCAGCATTACTTGGCACAATGCTATCAATAATGCTAGTGTCTAATCCTGATTTTGGGACTAGTTTGAGAGCCTTTGGGATGTAGAAGCTAATTTAGCTATGACTATTGCTGAATTATTTTGTAGACGATTAGAAGTTTCCTGAGGCCAACTTGCTTATGCCATGTCTCATAAGAAGCACCATGACTAGTGACCTGGAGGGAATGTTCAGGAAGCCTCCCTTGACTTTACTCTCTGTTTGTTTGTTTGTTTTGGTTTTTCAAGACAGAGTTTCTCTGTGTTGCCCTGGCTATCCTGGAACTTGACTTGTAGACCAGGCTGGCCGTGAATTCAGAGATCTACCTGCCTCTGTCTCTCTAGTGCTGGGATTAAAGATGAGTGCCACCACTGCCCAGCTTCACTTTTAATTGTGCCTACTGAGAACACTTTTGTCTCTAATCAATAACTTCTGTAGCTGGTTTTATTTAGGAGTTAGAAATGGAATCAAGATACCTTCAAAAGTGCCTGGGGACATGCCTTACTCAAGGTCTCACGGAAGTTGCAAGAGTTCGCCCATTGGATCCAATTGAATTTTTAGCCTTGTGGATTTATAAGCACAAGGAAAACGTGAACATGGAGCTAATGGTAAATATGGATCTCCTTTTAAGAAATGAGAAAAGCATGACAATTGGTTCTTCTTGTCTATATTTCTATGTTCAATCTGTTTTTCTATTACAATATATAAAAATAGAGAGGGGAGAAAACTGAAAGAAAGCTTGTTTTGAATTGAAATATTTTCTTCTCTGTGTTGTCTTTTTCCATTGTATTTAAATATGTCAAATATGTTGACATATTTATCTGCACAGGTTTTCTTTTTCTGCTTTTTCATTTATATTTATGGGTATAATCTTAATTCTGTGTTCTTTGTTCAGCTAAAACCTAAAACTCCCCCAAATCATTGCATAGTTTCCAAATGAATAGACCATCATTTGCTTAATCTGCTTTCTAGTGCTTGTAATTGAGATGCTTCTGAGACTGAATTTACAGATTGTTGGATCTCTAATTGTGTGCTGTTACTTTTTTACCAATTGCTAGAGACAGAGAGAAATGATTGCATTGGAGCATGAGAGAGAATTAGCCATGATGGAGCAGGAAATGCTGGAGCGACTCAAAGCAGAAGAACTCTTGTTTCAGCAGGTCAGACAAGAGGGCAGATGTGGCTGAAGGGAACATCACCCTTGGTGTGTGCACCCCATATCCTGAAATACCGACTGTCTCTGGCCACTTAGACATGACTCTCTAGTATCCCCATTTTTTCTCTTTAGAAAAGGCTATATAGCATGAGATAATAGGACAACCCAGAGAATATGTTGTGGTGAAAGCCAAGGGTTCAGTGAAGCCAAGGGACAGTAGTCAAGGGCCCCACTGCTGAGCTGGTGTCCATTCCAAGGCCAGATATTTTGTCTAGGAAGAGTGGATAGGGTGGAGCACAGAAGGTAAGGAGGGAGATGGTGAGTGAGCATAACGCTTTCATGGAGCTTGTGAGGGAAAGAGCAATGGGTTTTATTTTGATTTTATTTAGGAATACAATGATTGACATTAAAGAATAGAAAAAATAGTCTAGAGCCTTCTGTCCACAGGAATAAGAGAAAATGGGTCTGGAAAACAAGCGGATGAGTGCTTCTTATTGTAGTTTAGAGACAGAGAATGGGTGGTCTCTGTATAGGTGGGTGTATCAGCTGGTGACAAGTCGAAAGCAGCCTGCATGTTACTGTCTCTTTACAAAGTAAGGACCAACCATGAACACACACGAAGAATGAAGTGATGAGGTCAGAGGGATGAAAAGAATGGTGAAGGCCTGAAGTAATACTGTAGAAGATGGAAGACTTTTTTTTTTTTTGTTTTTTGAGACAGGGTTTCTCTGTGTAGCCCTGGCTGTCCAGGAACTTACTCTGTAGACCAGGCTGGCCTTGAACTCAGAAATCCGCCTGCCTCTGCCTCCCAGGTGCTGGGATTAAAGGCGTGTGACACCACTGCTCGGCTGTGTTGAACATTTTTAATCCGAAAAAAATTCCTAAACATGAAACTTTTTGTGTGCTTGCATGATGTTAAAAAGTGGGAAATTAAAAAAAAAAAAAGCTAACCCTTTGGTTTGTTGAACCCAAAGCACTTCATTTGCCAGGCATGTGGATTGTATGGTGGTAAGACCAGTCTAAGCAAAGAAGCAAAAAGGAGTGCTAGAGCTAAGGTTTAGCTATTGATCTGCTGTAAGTGCCGTATGATTTCAACGCTTGTAATTCCTCAGCAGCAGTTGGCATTCCAGTTGGAGTTGGAAATGCAACAAAAAGAGAAACAGAAGACAGAAGATATCAAGACAGGGCAAGAAAAATCAAGTAAGGTAATCTGAAGCTTTGTTACATGTCTGCTTATTAGAAGCTTCTAGACTCTTCAGGCTGTTTCTTCCAGCCATGTCAGCAGAAAGACTATAGGATGAGGAACCCAGACACCCCACTTCCCATCAGCTGTGGGATCAAGCCTCAGCCTTTCTGTCTGCTCTCCTGTTTTATGACAGTGGTTGCAGCACAGGACCATAGGCATCACACAGGAAGTGAGTACAGTCACGTGAGTGCCTTTCTGCCAATGGTTTTGTCAGGACACGCCTGGTGTTAATTACTGTGGCTGATTTGAAGGTACTTGATAGATGAGATAGCCATATGTCACTTTTCTTCATGTTACATTTATCAAAAAATCATTTACATCTAAAAAAATCTGTTCTCATATTGATTTTCATGTCTCTTATGAAAATAAATAATGAAGTGAGTGAATTTTTAAAAACACTTATTTTCATTGGTAATAATTCCTGATATCCTGAAAATGTGTACCATATAGGCCAGACTTCTGAATGACTGTCTATGGCTCCTGTCTTCCCTATCCAACTGAAACGTTCTTTATTGAACCCTCAATTAACACTGAAATCAGAAGCAAATTTTATTAAATGTATTAGATATGTTTATTAAAACATTAAATGAAAAAAAATCCCCATCATTTGAAACACTTTTTGTTTGTTTACCTTTTTTGAGATAGAGTTTCTCTGGGTAGCCCTGGCTGTCCTGGAATTCACTCTGTAAACTAGGATGACCCGGTACTCAGAGATCTCACAGATCATGCTTCTGCCTCCTGAGTGCTGAGATTAAAGGTGTGGCAAACATTTCTTAAAAACACATAGGGTGGTGAATTGAATAAAACAAGTGAGATATTGAAGGATCAATTCAAATATCTTCATAGTTTTAATGTCTAGTGGCTAGTCTGTTAGCTTGGACAACAGGAGCTTTTTTGGGGTATGTGCATAAGCTTACACATATACTAACACACCAGCGGCTCCAAGTATCAAGCCTGTGTGACTAGAGCCAACACAACTTTATTACTTTGTGTTCACATTGGCTTAATGCACTCATCTCCACCTTGGAAACACTTAACCACTGCTCAGAGTCCTTTCATGTCCCTTGTTCGGGCCTATAGACACACAACATAAACTATCATTCTAAATGTATGAGGACTCCTGAGTTAAAGAGAACCCAGTCAGGGATGCTTGCCTCAGACTTGTGGGAGCAAGAGTAAAAAGCTAAAAGAAATGTCTTCCCTGCTGTACTCTGAGGTTGATTTTAGCGTCTCTCCTGATGCTCTGGTTTATGGCAAAGGATGAGGAACTTGGAATGTGTTGGGTTCCTGAGAGTCACATGTTGAAGCCCCCACCACTGCAGAGGAATGGATTCATTTTCTGGTTTAGTTAAAAGAACTGGGAGAAAGGTTAGTGTCAAATAGCCATCTTTATGGTTGAGGGCGTTGCTCTTGTAAGTATATAAACAGCTTGGGGCTACTGTGTAGATACAAGGTGATAACTTCCTAGGAAAGCCAGGTGTAGTGGTCCACACTTTTGATCCTAGCATGGAGTGAGACAGAGGAATCTCTGTGAGTTCAATGCCAGCCTGGTTCACATAGCAAGTTCCAGGACAGCCAGGACAGCCAGGACTACATAGAGAAATTCCATCTCAAAAGAGATCAAAAGTAAACAAATAAAAAGTTCCTAGAAAAAATGCAATCATCATTGCAAAATAGTACCGCATATATCACTATAATTAGGATTGCCATACTTGGGGCTGGAGAGATGGGTCAGTGGTTAAGAGCACTGACTGTTCTTCCAAAGGTTCTGAGTTCAATTCCCAGCAACCACATGGTGGCTCACAACCATCTCCAATGTGATCTGACGCCCTCTTCTGGTGTGTCTGAAGACAACTACAGTGTACTCATATACATGAAATAGATAAAAAAAGGATTGCCATATTTATAGTCACAAATTGAGTAATCTTTCAACTGCCAAAATGCCTTAACCTAGCACAAGTCATGTGACCTGGCTGAAGGCCATAGTGATGAAAAGAAGGATGCCATAGTAGGTTGGCTTGGTTAGAAGAAAGCTTTCTCATCTAGAAGTGATCTTTCATGCTGGGCAAACATTTCCACTAAAGATATGAGTTGCTAAGGACTTATGGAGACCACTTGGGCATGGCACAGTAGCTTGGACAAGGTTGATTCAATTTAGAAATATGCATTCTGTTATTCCTTTATATAAAACCCAACTTCAAGTTCTCCTTAAAAACCTTATTCTAAGGTGTTATTTTAATATTGTCACTTTTCATAGTTGCAAGAATATTTGCTTCAGTTTTAATGTTTCAGCCCATCTTTAAAGTTCATAACATTTATTAAGTCTTAGAAAATTTTTTACAATGTATCTTTTTTATACATTTCCCTTCTATTTTTAAGATTATAATGTAATTACATAATTTCTCTATTTTCTTTCCTCCCACCAAGCCCTCTCATATACTTCTCCTTATTTTCTTTCAAATCATTGCCTTTTCTCATTAATTATTTCTCAATAATTAATTAATTGTTATTAATAATTTCCCATTATTCCCATATATTCCTAAATAGAACCTGCTCTGTCTGTATAATGTAACTTTTGTATATGTTTTCAGGGCTGAAATTTGGCATTGGATAACTAATTAGTGTGCTTTTCTCTGGGGAAGACTATTTTTCCTACTTTCAGTATTCCTTAGTTGCCTGTAGTTCTTTGTGTAGGGTTAAGATCTCATCGACTCCCCTGTCCCATTTGGCTATTGTTGTCCTTCTTCACTTTGTGTTTATCCAGTCATGGCTGTGAGACTTCATGTATGTAGCTTCTGACATTACTAGGAGACACAGTCTGATAGCAAACTCCTTTATCCTCTGGTTATTACTATCTTTTTGCCCCTCATCCATGTTCTCTGAGCCTTAGGTGCATAAGTTATTTTGTAGATATATTTATTGGAACTGGACTCTTCAATTCTCCATTTTAATTTAATGAAGCTTATATATTAATTTTATTTTAATGCGGTTTCAGTTTAATTTAATGTGGTTTTCTGTAACAGTCTCTGTTGCTTAGAGAGTTTAATGAGTTTCTTTAGATGAACCCAAACATTGTTGGTTAGATCTTAAGTCCAGTTAGAGAGCTCTTGGTTACTGCTGTATGTGTATATGTGTCACTACTGGATCATTTGAGTTATCCCGCCATGGTGGCCATTGTGGTTCATGGGCATCATAGCTATTGCTTCTTTCCTTTGAAAGCTTGCATGGTACCTTCTGGTACCATAAAAACTGGTCCCCAGGATAAAGGGTATTCAGGTCTCTTTCAGCCCAAGACTGTGTGTCTGAAGGGCATGGTATCCTCAGGAATTGAGATTTACCTTCCACCTCTTGTCCTGCCATTTAAAATTTTTTTTTATTTAATTACAAATGGTTTCTCCTATTAGTAATAAATTAAACTGTAATTCACTGTTTTGTGTGCATTGTGTTTTGATGAGTCCTCAGAAAGTGATATTGCTTTTGCTGTTCGACGGATCATAGCACTTTATAAAAATAAAACTAAAAAACCAAACGTAGAATGGAAATGAACAGTATTCAATGTTTTCTTGACTTTATGCAGGACATGATGAGCATGGAGAGCACGGCTAGGGGTGAGGAGGCCATGCAGTCAGAGGTGAGAGGGAAGACCTACTGTGTGTCATGTGATAGCACTGCTAGAGGTGAGGAGGCCATGTAGTCAGAGGTGAGAGGGAAGACCTACTGTGTGTCATGTGATAGCACTGCTAGAGGTGAGGAGGCCATGTAGTCAGAGGTGAGAGGGAAGACCTACTGTGTGTCGTGGGAAGTGAACACATACCTTAGAACAAACACCTTATTTTTTGTATCAGTGGTATCTTAGTTAGGGTTTTACTTTTGTGAACAGACACCATGACCAAGGCAACTCTTATAAGGATAACATTTAATTGGGGCCAGCTTACAGGTTCTGTGGTTCAGTCCATTATCAAGGCAGGAACATGGCAGTATCCAGGCAGGCACAGTGCAGGAGGAACTGAGAGCTCTATATCTTCATCTGTAGGCTGCTAGCAGAACACTGGCTTCCAGGAGTTAGGATGAAGGTCTTAAAGCCCACCCCCACAATATCACACCTACTCCAACAAGGACACACCTTCCAGTAGTGCCACTCCCTGAGCCAAGCATATACAAACCATCACAAGTGGCTAAAGTTTTAATAAGGGCACTGTCTATACCAGGATGGGCATAGTGGAATACACATGTGATTGCAGTGCCTGAGGCTAGAAAGTTGTGATTACTTCCAGGCATGCCTAAAGCTCTGTAGTGAGACCTTTCCTCAATAAAACAAAAGCAAAACCAAAAACCGTATGAACAGTCCAGATGGATATTTTAGTGATGTCACAGGTGTGCATGCGGTGCTTTGAAACAAATCTCAAAGTGAATACAATTAGGACATTCTGTATGTATTGATATATTTTAAAGCTACAATGTCCTGTTATGTTGCCCATAGAATTGCTTACAAATTATGTATTTTATTTATTTATTTTTTCTTTTGTTTTTTCGAGACAGGGTTTCTCTGTATAGCTCTGGCTGTCCTGGAACTCATTCTGTAGACCAGGCTGGCCTTGAACTCAGAAATCTGCCTGCCTCTGCCTCCCAAGTGGTAGGATTAAAGGCATGTGCCACCACCGCCCGGCCACAAATTATGTATTTTAAAATTCCACATGGATTTAAAAAAATTTTTAATGCTTCTTACTAGAATTTTTACACCATTAGCAGGCGGTGGTAGATGTGAATTCTACCAATTAAAAGTGTTGAGTCCGAATGCTTAATTCAGAAATTTTATTTCAAAATTGAAAGAAAAGGGACCTGTTTATTTTGAAGCCATGTGAAAGTAGAAACTGAATTTTATGACTGTAGGAATCGATGGACTCGGGCAAAACCCTAGCAGAAATCAGCGATCGTTATGGGGCACCTAATCTGAGCCGAGTGGAAGAGTTAGATGAGCCGATGTTATCTGATGTAAGTATCATGATATCTCAGGACAGATTGTTTTTCATGTTGATAAAGTCTAGAATGTATGAGATTTGTTGGCAAGTAATAGTTTTCATTTATGCAAAAGAGACAAAAAGTGCAGGTGCTAACCAAATTCTTTTTTTAAAAAAAAATCTTTATTTTATGTGTATGGATATTTTGCCAGCATGTATGTTTGTCTGTGTACCGTATACATGCAGTGCCACTGGAGGCCAGAAGATGGTACCAGACCCCCTGGGAGAAGGTTGTCTAGGTACAGGGATTCAAATCCAAGACCTCTCCAACAGCCAGTGCTCTTAACTGCTGAGCCACTTCCCCAGCCCCGCTAACTAAATTCTTAACTGGTGTTCTGCCTGTGAAGGAGGCACCATTGGCATATCTGTGTCTATTTACATGTAGAGTTCCATATCTATCTATACTTCTAAAAATATATAATCATCTGTATCTACATATTTTACAGTTAGATTTTGAAAACATCAATACCTCTTAGAAATACATGTGTAAGGGAGTTGGAGGGAGGGTAATGGGTGGAATGTAAACAAATAAAATAATAATAATAAAAAACTACCAAGGTCACAAAAAAGAAACAAGGGGGGGGAAAGAAAAAGAAATACAGGTGTAAAATAATTTTGTGAAATATGCAATCCTTAAATTCGATAGAGAAAGAACCATTTTGGTTCTCTGACACAAACTCTGCAAACACATAAGTAGTTTAGCGTGAATAAGTGTTTTTATAGCATGTAAGTGCACATGTTCATTTACCAAACATACTGTGATGTCCACGTCAGGCATTGTGCCAGATGTAGTGGGGAATAAGGTAGTTTGTACTTGCTGGAATTTCCTGTTTAGAGGAGAAGCACAATCTGAATAGCATTAGGTGCTCATCACGAGAATGATCAGGAAATCTACTATCCAAACCAGTGTGGTTTATGGCTGAAAGAAAGGTCTATGAATAACTGAGTCAGATCAGCAGGGGATCTGTCCTGCCAGGAGCACATTGTACTGTCTTATCTTGGTTGTCAATTTGACATACCTGGAATTGAATTTGAGTTTCATATTAGCCTGTGGGTGGGTATTTTGTTGAATGCTAATTAATGTAGGAGAGCTACTGTGGGCTTGGGCTGAATAAGAAATAAGGAAAGTGAGAAGCAGTGGTCTTGTTAGGGTCTAGAATTGCTGAAGGAAGACTTCAGGCTCAAATAGTATGTTTATTCTGCAGAAATAACTAGCATGTGAAGATCAACCATTCTAGCATGTGGGGGTCAACCATTCATCAAAATGGTGACCCTGGAGGAGCTCCTGGCCCCTTTTAAAGCAGGGCTAGAGGAATTTTCCAGAAGGATCAGGTAATCTCTAACGTGATTGGTAGGGGCCAAAGTGGTGACATGAAAAGAATTTTGATTGACTACTATGTTAGTTTTTTTATGTTTGCTGAGACCTTAGAGAGTGGGTTAGCTAATCTAAAATTTCATTGGTGGGTGAAGGTAATGCTAAGTGGGTCGGTTTCTGATTGGCTTGTGCCAGGTGGTCTGTGGTCTGCATTTCTATGTCATGAATGTTTAGCCACAGGATGAGATTCCCAAACCATACAAGGCTGCCAAGCATATATAGCCAATTCTGAGATAATTCCCCATTCTTGTGGTTATCTCCAGGCTGTTCTTTGGATGGGGGATTTTATGAAGCTGGTGGCTTATGACCTAGTTTTTGAGACAGATACTGTTACTCAGTGGTAGGGAAAGGGAATTCTGAGGAAGGATTACAGGCAGAAAACACAAGCAGGCTATAAAGACCCAGGTAGGAGAGAGTAAAGAGCAATGACCAGGAGACAGAAGGGGCCAGACCCTGAAAGGACTTGTAATTCCTACTCAGGGCTTCTGGTATTTACCTGAAAACAGTGCATGGAAACCTATGTTGTCAGAGATGTACTTTGGAAAGATCATGTGTCAGCTATAGTATGGGAGGAGAAAGGGGAAGAAAGACCTAAATGAACTACGGGAGGAGTACGGCGAACGTGCAGAGTAAGAAGGCCTGCAGGTTTGTGTAGGAACCACTGGGTGTTGAAATAGTTAATAGTACCTATTGGAAGTAGAAGAAAAAGCTGTTTTCAAGAGCTATTAAGAAAGCTGGTCTAGAAGCACTTGGTGATAGACAGCAGGGAGCTAGAACCAATACATAATTCGTTCCCTTTGAGCCCATGGGGCATTGGGAAGGGGCTATAAGAGACCAGGCAAGGAGACTTAGAACTAGAGATAGCAAGAAGCTGCCAAAGAGCCCAGTGTTCCAGCTTGGTGTTACAGAGCTGGGAGAGGGGTGGGACTTAAAGGCAGGGAGGTAGAAAAGCCAGATCGCATGTTGGTGTGGGGCAATGGACCTTGCCAGGAAATTTGGTAAGGTAGAACAGGTCTGAGTCCCTGGAAACTCGGGGTATACACCCATTTGAGACAGTAGGTAGCTCCCTGCCAGATTCCTGGCCTGGAACATGTGCCACACTTCCCACATAAGGAAACGTGATCTGTGATTATGTAGGCCCAGAACAGAGTTCTCCCTGCTAATGAGATACCTAGAGGCCCTGAGGGTTTAGCCAATAAGCTCCACTTCCCAGACATCCCTCCCTGTAAAATGTATTTAGTTCCTGGCCCACCCCGAGAAGTTGGTATGCATTCATTTTCCATGATGAACAACCAATAAACAGTTCGGAACAAAGGACTGTCTCTTTCATCTACCACCGCCATGGGGAGCGTGGAGAAGGCCTTCGCCTACAAAGCTGCGCCTCCTATGTCTCCTGTAGAAGGCCACACAACTACCTCCAAGCTAAGAACAATCACTGCTGAGCTAAGCTGGAGCTCCCAGCCCTGGCCTCAGGCTAGACATCATCCTCAGCCCATGAGCCCCCAATGGTCCTGGCCTCGTTGCAGGCCAGTAGATCCCTGAGCCTTCCTTCCTGACTCCTCTGTGTGGCACTCTAGTGATGACTAGATGTCTTGGGGAGGGGGTCAGGGAATATCATCTTAGGTTTCCCATATCTCAGACTGCGTTTTCCTACCCCCAGAACGGTGTCTCGGTGCTTCCTTGAAGCCTGGCGGCAGCACAATTATAACCAGAATAGACTTAAGTTTGGTTCAAGAGATGGGGGAGAGGGAGCCGAGAAGGAAACCAGCCTTTCTCCCCGAGCAGCTGAGCTGTGAGTGTTATCATTGGATGAGTTGGTGGACATAAGAAAAGGAAGTAGGGGGGCTGGAGAGATGGCTCAGCGGTTAAGAACACAGACTGCTCTTCCAGAGGTCCTGAGTTCAAATCCCAGCAACCACATGGTGGCTCACAACCATCCGTAATGAGATTGGATGCCCTCTTCTGGTGTGTCTGAAGACAGCTACAGTGTACTCATCAATAAAATAAATAAATAAATATTTAAAAAGAAAAGGAAGTAGGGCTTTTGCACAGGGAGATGTTGAATTTCAGGTGATAATGAGATGTACACATGACCCCAAACCACTTTATGTATGGTATAGCTCTGGTAGGGACAGGAGGGCCATACAGAAGATTCAAATTCAGTAGCCAAGGGTATGTGTGGTAACTGAGATAGGAGAGGAAGCACAGTACTGAGGAGAGCACAGTGTGTGAAGGCCTGAGCTCTAGCTAGAAAGAAATCATTAGGAATTCCAGACTCTTAAAGGCCAAGGCTCATAATCAACAGGACAAGGCTTCTGTTCCCAATAGGGGGTGGCTCTGGAAAGGAAGTGCCTCCCAAGAAGGATGAGAAAGGAGTGAATAAGACATTGTTTAGGAACATCATTTATGATTATAAACTACTTTGGTACTCTTTGATATTACCTGAAACTCAAACAGCTACCTTTATAGGCTCACACTGATGTTATTTAAGCTTGATTTTCTTTGTCTTGTGTCTTTTCATTGTAGTAAACTTTATTTACCTTGTTTTTTGCTTTTAGGTTGCATTAAACATTGATCAAGATCTGTAGGACCAACCAACTGAAAAGAAATATTATCTACCTGTTTCAAACTTCAAGTCACAAGGGCCCTAATATGTATTTTTCTTCTTCCAAATTTGAACCCTACTCCCCTCCCTCCACCCAGTAACTTTATAAACAGGATTCAACTGTATCCTTAAAATAAAGTTCAGATATCACAATACAAATTGGTTACTTGTGATACATTGACGAAGTATGACAGAATTTATTGAAGCAACAAAAAGAGGCAAGAGATGAGCCAAAAGAATGTAATCTCTACAAGAACAAGATTGCTTGGAAGGAAAGTTCTAGAAACTACTACCATACAAAGGCTGGAGGTCTCAAGAGTTTCTACAACTTATGGCTTCTCCTTTGAGATTGAACTGCAAAGCATTTTCCAGATTACTGGCAGGTAAAGCCTCTTAGAACATTTAATCAAACCCCCATGATGTAGGCAGAATTGGAGGGAGTCTTTTCCCCATTGCTTTGGAGGTGTGTGTTCTTGAATGTGGCTCAGCCATCCCCACTGGAGAACAGGTGTGGGGGGGTTCCTTTTTTTTACTCTGTGTAGTTGGGTAGCCAGCTCCTGTCTGTCTTTTCAGGGTTTGTGAACGTAGGGTTGTTGCAATGAGTGTTCACACAGAGACAGTGGAGTGGGGAAACAGTCTTGGAGAACCTGGAGAATTCTTTTTCTTGGTCATCCAGTAGGCATAGAAACCAGGACACTTTGGTGAGACAGATTTTTGGTACCTGTAAAGTTTCCATATGTATCTCTGGCTCTCTGGAGAAATCCCTTTACAGAATTCTTCTAGATCCAAGATTATGGTGTGAGTTTTCAGTTCTTAAAGACATGGATTATAGGGGCTGGAGAGATGGCTCAGTGGTTAAGGGCACAGACAGCTCTTCCTAGATGACCAGGGTTCAAATCCCAGCTCCCATGTGGCAGCTCACAGCTGTCTGTAACTCTGAGATCTGATGTTCTCACATAGACATACATGTAGGCAAAATACTAACGTGCATAAAATAAAGGTAAGTAAGTTAAAAAATAAACAACATGGGTATAAAACCACAAATGCTAGAAAGAAACCTTTTGCTCTTAAATATGCTTTTATATATAATATCCTTTTCTTAAGCAAGTAGAGGCTTTTTTTTATGGATTTAGAAAAACCTAATTTCATGAACTGTGTGTGTGTGTGTGTGTGTGTGTATGTGTGTGTGTCTCCAAGGGCAGATGCACGTGCTTCTGGGTAATTCTCCTGTCTCCACCTCCTATCTCACAGTACTGAGAGTGCTGTGAGACACATAACACCACATCCAGCTGTTTTATTTGGCTCCTATGGCAAGCACTTTTATCCACTGAGCCTTCTTCCTTACCTCGGCTTCTTCTAGTTGATGTTCACTACTATGGATTTATGATATTTAACTGATGTAATAATAGTCTTCAGTTTATGCTACTATGATGATGGTGATGGTGGTGGGTATGTGTGTGCCTGTAGAGCTTTGGGAATCTTCCTTTTTCTCTTGTTTTTATTTTTTGAAACACATTCTCTCCAGGGAACCTCTTGGCTAGAGTGACTGGTCAGTGAGCCCTCAAGATCCACTGAGGTACAGACTTGTGCATTCACATTTGACTTTTAAGTGGGTGTTGACTTATCTAAACACAGGGCCCCACATTTGTGCTGCAAGCAGTTTACCCACTGAACTGTTTCTTTAGTCCCAATATTATTTTAAAACCATTGGAGCTGGAGAGATGGCTCAACAACAATTAAGAATTCAGATTGCTCTTGCAGAGGACCCAAGTTTGGTTCCCAGCACACAAATCAAGAGCTCAGAGCTTTTTCCTGTTGCTCTCTCTGACCTGGAGAGTGGGATAGGAGGTGTTCAGGAACACAGGAACTGACATAATGGTTACCTTTGCCGGGAGGCTAGCAGCTAAACCACATAACTCATGTATACATGGCACACCATCCCAAAGTGCCCTACACATTGAAAAGACAAACATATAGATTCCTGGAAGCAGTGACTAAAAAGTGAAAGCAGAAACGTTGGAAAAATCCAGGAACCCAGATATCAAGAATTCATTCAATTGTACTCATTTCTGGTTGTGTTGCTGTAATACCTCTTGTGACCACAAGATGTCGCAATGATTCAATTCAACCAGAGCTGCTCCTTGCCTTACAGCTCAACAAATCCACATTTAGTAAGGCCATCCTGTCAACCATTATAATTCAGCCTATCCCAACTTAAACATGCTGGGGAGACTTTAAGTCTATAGTTAGACAAAATCATTTAAAGCCAATGTTACAATAAAGTGTCTATCTAATACTTGGGAGCTATTTTGTATGATGTATGGAATGTGAACAGAGTGGGTGAACAGGTTCCTAGCACACAGAGCTGAAGGTACATGTAGTCTTGAGGATGTTTAAAGCATCTCACTAAAATTGCTTGTGGTAGCTATGATGACTTAATCATGGATTTCTCTCTTTCCTGATGAGATGCAAGAACAGGAGGCAGAAGGCACAAGAGGTTCTAAACCTGCTGGCTTAGCAGGTACAGCATTTATTGGGAAGATGCCAAGCATTGGCTACACCATTTGTTTCTTCTTTTGATGTTGTTTCCTCATGGTAACCAAGATTATCCTGAATCTGCCTGCCTGATCATGTAAACCTGTGCTGTTCACCTCTTTTTAACTTTTGTGCCCTTTGATGAGAGTACCGTGTACCTCTGCCAGTTCCCTTGTGAGATTTCTTGGTGCCTCTGCTCTCACTTTGTGGATTCTGTCTTCATCCAGTTCCCTAGGTAGACATAGGAAAGCTCTTCAGCCTCCAACCCAAGGGGCTCGTGAAGATCTTTATGCCTAATTCTGACTGTTTCCTGACTATCTGTCAGAAAGCCTAAGTCACACATTTCTGTCACATGGCACAGGCAACATATTAATTGAGCCCATCTCCTTACAACACAAGCCTTTCCTCCCCTCAGAAACCTTTAAGATCAGACATGTCAGATAAAGGCAGGACTGATGCTTTTTTTACTTCAAACTCTTGCCCCACTGCTTGCTAGGGAACTAATAAATCTCTTGCCTTGAGGACAACCCTAACCTTTGTGTATGTTTCTAAATTGTTTTCCCAAATGACCCTGGTGTGTCTGACACAACTTTTTCCAATGCTTCTGCATCATTTCAAAGAACAGAACATTAATACTATTCAAAAATTCTGGCAGCTTTCATTTAGATTTGATCATGTCCAATGGCTTGAGCAACCATTTGTTGTAAATAGGATGCTTTAAAGAAAGCACTTGCACATTGGTCACAGTTGGTGGTAAACACAGCCTTTACATTAGTCATTAGTGTGGGTGGTGCCCATATACTTTGGATACCCACAAGATCAAAAGACTCTTGAATGTAATGCTATTTTAGTCTGTAGAATACTCTTGCCTGTTGGATATAATAGCCCAAAGACCAGTCTTCAGACAATGCTGCTATTACTCAGCCTTTATTGTTCCGGTGATTGTAAATGAGGAATGTATGCTTGCTCACAGTCTTGAATATTTCCAGCTTCTTTAGCTGTAGACAAGGAAGGGCTTTCATTTGAACTCTGTAACATCTCTGCCCAAAAGCATCATCTTAGAGTCTTAGAATGCATAGGCTTCATGCTTCTAAGACAGTCTCATTTCATCATTATTAAGCAGTTGCTACAGATTTTTTTCTCAACCATAGAAACCCCATGCAGCTCTTCCTCCTGGATCAGTACTTGCTCCTTACTACTGACCTTCAGATTTAAAAATTACAGTGTTCTAACTCCCACTCAGTAAGTCTGGGGCTGAAAAACTTCCATTCTTTTCTGCTTTTCCTTTATTTTATTTTATTTTATTTTATTTTACTTTATTGTTTATTTAGGAAGGGTCTCATGTAGCCTTGAACTCTCAATTCTCCTGTGTCTACCATCACACCCTGATTGAGAATCAGTATTTTCAGGCACTAGAGGGTACACAAGGGAAACTTGTAAAAGCCTTGGGCATAGGTTGTGTCCATTCCGAAGATCCTAGAGAGTGTTACATTGCTTTCCAAAGTAGTCATGCGAATTCCCACTGCTCTCTCAGCTGGGCATGGGAGTCTCTATTGTCCTTGTCCTTTCTGGTACTTGGGAATGTTCCACTTCTACCATCCCCCACTATAGAGGCACACTTTCGTAGTTTCTATGTTGTTTCATTTGCATTTTCTTCTATTGGTAGTAAGATGATGCCTCGTTTGTGTTTACTGCTGATTGATTTGCTCCTCTGGGAATCACATGCTCAGTATTTGCTTACACACTGTATTGATTTGTTTGTCTCTGTCCTATTGATTTTCCTTGTTGATTATATGTGTTGGGAAACCACTCAGGTGGTAGGCTGACTTCAGCTGCCTTACTGTGCTTACTGTTTAGAAAAAGCATTTGGTTTTATTTTATTTACATATTTCATTTATATCTTTAACCATTTCATAAACTAATCAGCTATTTTCAAATCTTCTAGGATAGGTCATTTGGCCAAAGAGTTATCTCTTCAAGTTTATTCTATTCCAAGCTGACCAGTAATCAAACTTAAAATTTAAAAGTATGGTCAAATGCACTGTTGGCAGTCGTACGGAATAAAAGGGTTCTGGTTCTTGACTTGAATGGTGGTGAATGGCATTTGAGGTGCTGAAGCTGAGTCCATCTGCTGCAGCTTAAGCATGTCAGCTTACTCCCAGCTTTGCTGTGAGTTCCAGTGCTTTGACTTCCTTTCTTCAGGGAGAAAGGAAAGATTTCTTGAATCTCAAAGTGCAAGTTAAGTGTGGGAGGATTCACAGCTGGGAGGCACACAGACTGACTTTCCAGGCTGTGAGACTGACCACGGACAGATTTTATGAGTCACAAGAAATGTTCACATGCTCTAAAATAACTCCCATGTGACCATTCTGCCCAACTAGGTATTTATTTACGTCAACCCTATTTTGAAATTCAGTTACCTCTGACATTATGGTTCATTCCTTTAAAAGAAAGAAAAC